AGAGGGCATTGGTATTGGAACAAGTTTGTGGAGGAGGATGATGGTTAGGGTGAGGTAAATGGGTGTGCAAGGGCCTTCTTTTGTTACAATATTAATGAGATTTTGATTTTATTTTAATTTTGAGATTATAACAACGAAATGAATCCCTTATGCACTTTCATTTATGTCAATTGTTAAAAGGACAAAAATAGGTTGGACTGTCAAAACGGCTCATTGTTCGTGAACAACTCATGTTCGACTCATTCACTAAGTTAACAAGTCGAACACGAACAAAGATTTATTATTTCATGTTCGGCACACACACACAGATATATATATATTTATATATTTATATATTTATTTATTGATGAGCAGTAATTAAAAAAAATAATTGATTACAAGGCTACAAAGATTTATAATCAATTAAAAGTATTAATTAAGAAAATAGAATAAAAATTATTAAATTAGATTTAAATGATGTTTTAAAATAAATAATAATTTTTAAATCTTGTCTCAATCATTAGCATCTTATGACTACGTGATTAGGGTTATCAAAACAACTTTTTGTTCGTGAACAACTCTTTGTTTGTTTAACGAGTCGAACACAAACACACTTTTTGAGCTCGAAATATAAACGAGCCGAGCCTGGACTCGCTCATGTTTGACTCGTTTACACCCCTAAATTAGGTAAAGTGTGATAAATTTAGAGAGATATTCATTGACTTTCAATGTCCTTGAGGGTTGTTTGGTTAGATAAATTTGTGGTGTGCTGTAACTCTTTTGCAGCGATTTGAGAAAATTATATGTTTGATACGAAGAATTATAAATACAATGTAAAATATGAATAAATTTAAAACTTGCACTATAGTTTATTTTAGCTTAATTTAAAATTCGACTGATTTGATCATATTTGAATTACACTATTAATGTAAAATGCCATGAGCTTCTTATCATTGTCCTTCTTTCCCTTGTCTTCTATAGAACACTCTAAGGTATTTCCTACCCTAATTTCTTTTTATTTCTTAGATGCCATGAGCTTCTTATCATTGTCCTTCTTTCCCTTGTCTTCTATAGAACACTCTAAGGTATTTCCTACACTAATTTCTTTTTATTTCTTAGATGTATTTGCATGTCCAAGTTCAAATTGGGCACTCTCCTCATTTAGTCTTTTGTTTGGAACTAGACAAAACTTCTAATTCCTTCCCCACTCCTCAATTTCACTACCTTACATTGCTCCATACCATTTTCCTCAGGATACACCTTAGTATTGTGCGGTAAGGTTCCTTAGGGTCTATTGCTCAAGGAGCTTGCTAATTGCTCTAATTGTGTCTTAATATTTCTTATGTTTGATCAAGGCTTGTTGGGTTGGTTGCTAATTATGTTCATAGACTCCATATCTGAAATGTTATGCTCACTTACCAGTTTATAAGAAGTCTCACTACTCATTGGTGTCCCTTGCATTTGATTTAAACCAAAATTGTCTTAACTTCTTTGATATAAGTGCCCCTTGTGAAGTCAAAATAGCTAAAATATTTGTATCATGCACACTAGCTATTTTTTTAGGATGCCATCTCTCAAAAGACTATTGGAAGTTATTCATTGCCATCCCTTTAATTAAACCATAGTCCTCATCAAATGGTTTAGACATCAGTGTTACCTTAGCTGCACCATCTATAATTGATCTCAAGGATACCGCAAACTCGTTATAGAAATTTTGAGTTATTAATCAATCGGGTAAGGCATGGTGTTGCCACTTCTTAAGAAAGTCCGTAAATCTTTCTAGTGACTTATAGGTTGACCCTCTATCTATGTGAATGAGGTGATGTTATTCTTAAGTTTGACGGTCTTAGAGGGTGAAAAGTACTCGGTTAAGAATTTCTAAGCTAAGTTAGTCTAAGTGGTGACAAATCTAGGGGGTAATGAGTCAAAAAAAAAATTAAGCCTAATTATGTCATTAGAGATGCCATTATACTTAAAGGTTGTAAAAAATTTCTTAGAAACCAGTAATGTGTAAGTTCGAGCCTTTTATAGATGAACCTTCAAATTGATTATTTTATATCATTTTGATAAGTGCATGTTTAGGCACAGAATTATGTGTCAAATTTGAATCTCTATTTAGACTATGGTATATTCCTCTTACTATTCATTTTGTGAAGTCCCTAGGTGGTCCGAGGTGATCATTTTTTACTTGAGGGTTTGTCATGTATCCTAAAATATTTTTATTTATTTTTCTATTTTTGTAAGTTTTTCAATAGTGTTTCAAGCCATAATGATTCATGTATCCTAAAACATACAAGGTTCACGAACTCTTTCTTATTTTAACCTATGGCTTTTGTTTGCATTAATACACATGAAATTATGTAATATTTATCGAAAAATATGAAATAAAGGCGACTATTTTGGCAAAATTTTACTTGTTTTTTTCTCACTCAACAAACAATTGGCTTCAAACTTTCTCTAAGAGTTTAGATTTAGGGTGTGTTTGGGGCAGCTTGTGTGTTTCACGATAAGCAGCTTAATTTTAGAGCCTGCGTTTAGTGTAAAAATGGAACCGTGTTTTCGGATAAGCGGACAAAAAGCACGATCCAAACGGTACATCGGCGTTTTAAAAAATGCCCTCGCACTTATAAGCTGTCACAAACGGGCCCTTAGTTCTTAGCTCTCATCTATCCTTCAGGTGAAAAATAATGATTTATTTATAATTTTTAAGACTGATATTATGATAAATTCGACCAAAATTTTAGAGCTCCATTAGACTTTTCGTGACGAATCATTTGACGGAGTATTGGATTTTCTTATCAAGACGAATATAAATTTACAAATTTTGATATCATTTAAAAAGGGCAACATAACCTTTCATACATACATTAACAAGGTGGCATATGTACAAAATTTGTTTTTCTATTGGATGTGTAAATACATGGGAATTGAGGGACATGCGTGTAAATTTATAATTCTATATTTATGCTTCAATTGCTATTAAAACAAATTTAACCCATTTTAAAAATCATAAAATTGAATAATAATTGAAGATGCAACTTTATTTTACAACATCAAATATGTAGTATTAGACGCTGGAATGGTGTGGTGTGTTTATATATATTTTTAAATATAGATAACTTAAGTATGTTTCTAATAATATTTATTTATACATAATTTAATTAATATATATTTTTTTAATTTTTTTCAGAGAAATAAATTCGTGTCATAAAATAATATGCAACTTTGAAAAAAAATTTATTTAATGTCAAGAGGCGCTATATTCAAAACCTTAGCGCATGTGATGTACGCATATTTGTGATTAAGTGTTTGTTTGGGGCAACTGTAATCTATCAAGAAATAACTGTGAAGCTGCTGAAAAATAATCTGATTTATAAAAAATTGTTGCGGTTATTACAAATTCTTTTTTTTTTTTTTAAAAGTCAGATAGCAGCTAGAAAGCTTCTATCTCACATAGTCAAGATCGGTGGGAAAATGCTGATTTTAATGGGAGCTTTTTGAAAAAACTTTCAAAACAAAGTTGTAAAACTACACTTTGACATCACTGCTGCCTTAAATAGGAGCGTATTTTATGTCCGGACTCCTGATGTAGTTCTACGTGCGGCGGAAGTTATTCTTGAGTTATTTTCAAATTATTTCTGGATTATTTCCAATAATCCTAAAATAATCTAGAAATAACATGTGATCTTTATTTTTAGGTTATTTCGAAATTATTGAAAATAACTAAAAAATAACTTAAAAATAATTCAAAAATAACTTTCGCCACACTTATAATTTTACTATCTCAGGCACTGAGCCATCTTTTACACATCTTTTTTATTTTATTTTAATTGAGTTGGACTCTTTGTCCAAGACCTGTCTCAAAACAATAATAACATTAAACATTTACGATATGCTCCTGCCGCAAATGCCACGATTAGAACCTTTCGTTATCACTGCAGCATAAATAAAGTTATCTACAATATTCCTGTCAGTTGTCATATCTGCTGAATTTTCCTTTACTTAAATTAACATCACTTCAGTGATGAAAGCTACCCAAACTCATAAATATAAAAACTAATCAATTTTATTTTGAGAGATTTACTTTTCAAAAAATAGATTCTCAAGAAAATATTTTTATATTTCGAGCTCAAAAAATGTGTTCATGTTCGGCACATTTACTTAGCTAGCTAAACACAAGTCGTTCATGAATAAAGAGTCGTTTTTGACAACTCTAATCATGTAGTCATAAGATGTTAAGGATTTAGGCAAAATTTAAAACATCATTTGAATCTAATTTATTAATTTTTATTCTATTTTCTTAATTAATACTTTTAATTGATTATAAATCATTGTGGACTTGTAGTCAATTAAATTTTTTAAAAGTACAACTTATCAAATACACAGACACACACACACACTTGATTTGTAGTATTTCGAGCCAAAACGAGCCGAATTCATGTTCGGCTCGC